AGGAGTTGCGATCGACATGCTAATCCTTGCTGAGAGAGTGAAGCGAGAACGTTGCTGAAAAGGCGCAACTCTGCGCCTGCTCACGGGCACGGTATTTTCCCCTGGCCTACTTACCCATTATGCGTGTCAGTTAGTCGTGACACAAACAAAGACTTTAAAGACAAAGGGCACATAGATCCCTAGTTATGTAAGATGAGCACGCCGATCACTGTAGAAATCTGCGCCCCTGAGAAGGCCTAACATGGTGTCTTTTCCAACGGAAAGCGTTCTCTAAGCATCCTAGCAAGGCTTAACGTACCAATCCGCACTCCCTCCAAAAACGACACGGCCAAAAACGGCCACACGATCAGAAATTGATCACGATCGGATCAGCTGTACTTCTTCAAGGTTCCTTCTGAAGAGATAAGTTCTTCTTGAGAGTAATGAAAATACCTTTCTTTGGCCACATGGTGAAGGTTATCTTGCAAGCAGCGCTCGTTGGAGTTTTGCACTTTTTTAAAACTCTTTTTTGGCTTTTTTCACTTGACTCCCGCGAATGTTCGAGCCGCTTCGTGAAATTTCATTTGTATATCCCTGCTTCTGTTGAAGAATACCGCTGATATTGTCGTGGTTTGCTACCGCTTGAAATAATGCGTCTTTACATTTCCTGTGCAGTCGCCATGATTTTTTTACACTAATATATGATCACTACGGGTATGTGCCAAGAGAATCGTAAATTGCCGTGCCAGAAGACGTCGTGCGACGTCGCGCTTGCTATTGACGACGATTTTAGGTGGTATTGTTCGAGAAAGGCAATGTATGACCAAAAATAGACATAAGTGTCTACCATGTCCTTGTCTACATGAAATCCGATGCTCCAATCGAAAGGGTAGTGCAAATTAAGGAAACGTCGCGCCCATTGCCGCGCGCGACGGAGCAGCGATATACGATTGTCTTGCCCGTCTCCCAACCACCACGATATCTCAGGCGGTAGACTCGTACACATCCTGATTGGAGCGGTTAATAAGGGCTCCATTCAAGGCGTTTTCTTCCCGTTTTTGCGCTACTACGGAAAGCCTCTTCCTCCAGCTCTTTGCAAGAGAACCAAAATTATTGTGCCTTATGCCTTTGGAAGAGCGTTGTTGCCCACAAACAATCACAATAAAAATTTCCATGAAAGCAACAGCTCCTCTGAACGACACCCATAGCAGAGAGGCAGCAATAATTTTCAGTCTATTACATTGATTGCTAAATGTGTTTACAGAGAGGTATTCATGGGTTGAGCGTTTTTGTGCCGTTTGAGCTTTGTCGTTCCGATACTGCGGCAGACAACTATCGCACTACAAACTGCTGAACTTTAATATTAAAGGGCAGCTCAGGCTTTGATATTCTGTGCGAATCTGTAAGAAAGAGAGCTGTGTTTATTCGCATTTACTACATACTCTTTTCTGTCCTATCATGTCTGACTATCCCCTGACATCTGTGTACACGAAGAATCGCAGCCATCCATGTTCCCTAGCTCCGTCGCCAGTTCTTCGAAGGTAATTATAACTTCTACCCGCTTATGGTTAAATGTATTCCACCGAAATCCTTGTTGAGAATCCTTACCCGTTTTTATGCTTGTTACTCCCCAAATTCTTTTTCCATCCTTCCTCCCCCCTCACTTCCCCTACCCCCTCCAGAATTGTGTTGTGCGTTCCGCTGTTGAGGTGTATTGCTGAAAAATCGCCGAAATGCCGTTTCAGGAAGATGCACACGGCAAGGATCCAGAACTTGGTTCGGAAACTGCAACGGCCACCAAGCGGTGAGAATATCTACATTAGCAGCAGGTGAGTTCGCTTTGTCTTCCTGTTGACCTCGAAGAAGTTATGGCCTCACTGGCAGACTTTTGTACAGAAATCCTTGCAAACTGCAGGGGTGACTGTGACAAGAGAATCGTAATTTGCCGCGCTGATGGGCGTCGCGTGCGACGTCGCGCCCGCAAATGACGATGGTTCCAGGTCGTAGATGGCGACAACAGGCAATTTAGAACCGAAAATAGTCACAAATGTCTACAGTTTCGTAGCTCACGTGAAATTCGGTGCTCCAATCGACAGGCCAACATGAGTTAAGAAAATGCCGCGCGCTCCTCCGCGCGCGGCTGTAGGGCTTGCGACGGTAGCGTGGCTAGGAACGCAGCCAGGGCAGATTTCCCAACAATCGTAGCGGACTCAGGATGGTACCGTTGTTGCAAAAAGGCCGCCATGGTTGCGCTCTGATAGGTGCCGCGTCACACGCCCTCTCGATTGCAGGGATCGTGACTTGGCGGCCCTAAGGTTCATGAAGCTTCGAATTTCTCTTTAACGCTATTTCCTCTTTTTCTACTGGATGGCATTTAGCTCTTCGAGGTTAACGAAATGATTCTGAACCCGGGGACCAAGATTTTTGTTCTGGTCTAAAGGAAAAGGAACCTGGGAGTGAGTGACCAGTCGCGGAACTTTTTCCCTACTAGGCTTATAAAACGAGCTTTTTCTGACCATTTGTAATATTTGTAATATAATATATATTTGTCACATTGGTAATATAAAGCTTGCTGCGAGTTTTCTGAGCTCTCGGGTACTCTCCACCGAAATGCTCCGCCATGTCCCACTAGTGCCGAATTTACTTCTGAATTAGGCATTGGCTGGCCTCGAGTGAGTTTTTAGGCTCCCTAAAAGCCGACCGACTTGTAAAAAACTTTTCGTGTTCGTTCTCTAGCTGAAAAGCTTTTAGCTTCAAATCGCCGACCTCGGAGAGGGGGACTGGTTTTCTATGAAAGCAATCATTTCGAAATTGAACTATTCGTGGATGTTGTTGTCAATATCGAATGTCGTGGCAAATATCACCAATGCCAAAATACGATTTCATGAGGTTGAAATTGGTCGAATTCAGCAATTCCAGGCAAACAACTGAATTCTCCCTACAAGACCAGGGTCCAGTGGAAAAACAATGTCAGCATGGAAACAAAATGTCTCCACGGAATGGCTGTAGCAGCAATTGATCACCGGGGATAACTAGACTTCATGGCAATCTAAAAGGGGAGATAATCGCAATTAAAAATGAAGTTTTTGGATAGCTCGGGTTTTTTTAAGTTTCGAAAATGCTCAGTAGGTTATTCAGGTGTCTGAAAATGCTACTGAATTGAAAGGTTTTAATTTACACTATGTCGGTTAAGGAATTCTGTGCACAGATCAGTTGAAGGCGTAAGACACGATATCTTGGGACCTGCTTTAAAGTAGTAACAGTGCTGGGGAAATGGCGAAAAAGCGAAGTGAAACGATCAAAATTCCGGCAAAAAAGCTTCTTTTTCTATTCTACTCAGAGAAAAAATTCGGACAAAATATTCGGTGAGTTGAAGTATCACTTATATCGCATAAGGGAATCGCCCCATTTTGTGAAGAAGCCTGTAAACTATCGCGAAGCTACGGAATAACACGAGCTCCACTCTTCGACGCTTCAATTCTTTCCTTCTTTTATCCTTATGTCAGGCATTTTTCATTACAGCATTCATTACTACATGTCGTGTTTTTACAATTTAAAAATTATCATACCCCCTTTGGCTGGTTCGTATGTTGTGCAAGATGAGGAAAACCATGTCCTTCGAGTATATTTTTAAGAGGAATTGAAATGTCTATTTTGGGCACAAAACGATCCTATTCAATCTTTTAACAGCACTGAACGCCAGCTCGGGGAGCCAAAACAACTATCAACTTACTTCAGTCGGCTGTTCTGTGACAAAGAACTTGAAAACCTTCTGTGACAAAGAACTTGAAAACCTTCTCTGAGTCAGAACGACGGCTCCAAAAGAATGGCGCTAGAAGAGCTAGTGACGCCTTTGTCAGCGTTCGGTACGAAAGCTACCTAGTTGAGTAGCTGCAGATGAAGGGAAATTTTTCGGCAAATTCATCTGACGAGCTCTGGTTAAAATGAAAATGATAGTTTTGCGTTTCTAAGCGGTGAGACTGAACTCCTCTTCTCAGTCAGCGTTCGCTTGGCGACTCGGGTGATTCCCCGATCCTGCGATAGCAGTCGAGTGGTGGCGCCCCCGCAGTGGTGGCGTCTGTCTCAGTTCTCGAATGGATGTAACCGCTGTGCCAGTCATTTTCAATAGGAAATTTTTTTCCGAAGATTAATCACTGAACTCCAGTTCAGGAAGCCAGAACAACCACTTACACCCTTCAGTCAAAAGTCGGCCGATTCCTGACAAAGAACTTGCGAATAGCCTCTTTGAGTTCAGGGAAGATTCCGAAGGATTTGCGATGGAAAAATGAGCTGGAGGTCCAGCCCATTGACAAACAATGAATGGCTATAGTTACAGGCGCGCGCGTCGCGAAGTGTGAACGCGGCCTTGGTTTATTTCTGCTGAATTCAGTTTTTATGCAGTTCTATTAACGATGGTGCTTCATAGGCTGTCAGGAGCTGCGTATGCAGTTGCGAAGGGAGGGCATAGCCGTAGACCTAGCGATATAGCGCAGCCAATCATTAAAGAACGTGATTGTGACTACAGGGCTGGGAGGAAGCGCTCGTACGCTGCTCAACGGATGTATTTAGAGAGTTCAACTGGCAACATTGCGCGCAGAGACGTGAGAGGATTCGGGTTAGTTAGTGACTTGCTCCAAAGTTGCGCGTTGATGTTGGAAAAATTAGATCTTGGTGTGAATTCCTCCCAAATGACCTCATCTGAACGCCTCTTCCCAGATCCTCAGAGACCCGGCCGGTGCTGCGCCATGCACCTGATCAGCAGACCTGAAAGTTAGCCCATGTTCTCGACCCAGTGTGACCAAAAGCGGGGTTGAGAGCGGTTTTGAGTGCCTTGTATGCTTTCCAACAAAACGCTCCACCATATTCTACTTGTAAAGAACTTACTTCTGGCAACGGGTTATTGCACTGTGCGTTGTTGGGTCGCAGTAAGGAACAACTCAACAAAAACCTTCCAGTGTCGAGGTAATTTGAATAATGGAACGCAACAACCTAGAGAACATTTCCCTCTCCTATCTTTCTTGAAAGAGTAATCTCCTGTTGAATTTATGGGATTATTTCAGCTATTCGGGTCGAGTGTTTATGGCCGATCAGGAGGAAGTGAACAAGATCTGCGAGGATTACCAGAAACTCGAGAACAAGTATGATATTTTCGAGAGGATGTTCATTCAGCTATTTCTGGTCAGTGACTTCATCATGTTTCTTTTCGGGGAATTTCAGGCAGGAACTTAAGATTGATGGCTGTTTTATAGGAAGAGGAAATTGAGCTGTCCGTTCATTTCGGACTGGACAAGCTAAAAGAAGAGGACTTGCGGAAGGATCAGCGTTTCCGAACGCACGTTGGAAAGTTCCAACGATTTTTCACCGGCATCGTCGAAATGCTCTCCAAAGGACCCGAGCAACTCAGCAACATAGTTCAAGTTCTTAGGTGAGCCTAAGAAACCTTTGAGGGCGATACCCGAGCACAAGGGTTGTTTTTCTTAATAGATAGCCCTTATTTATCACTTTTTTTGCTCACCCTTCATCGCAGTGAGTGCATTCTTTCATACATCATTCTCGAGCTTACTCTGCTCTCATCATTTGTAACGTGACGTCAAAGGCTGTTTTCGAGATTCATCGTACTAGGCGTGTTGTCCTCGTGGATTGCTGCCCCGTGTGTAGATCCCATGGGAGTTCCAACGCCTGCGGTTTTTCGTGCCTAAACAAAAGCATATCCATAGTTTTTGCAAAGAGCGTAGGCAGAGCTCTTCCAGGAAGACTAGTGATCTCTTGAGAACAGATAAGGGAGTCGAGATGGCTCAGCTGAACGAAAAATATTGAGGGCAGATATGAAGTGTTTGCAGCGGCAACTTGATGCAGGAATGATAGGGGAAATCCCTCCTCATAGTAAGCACGAAAGATGCCCACCAAATGGAGGCCGAGGCTGACTTTTAGGGACGAACGTGAGCACCATTTCGCTTTTCGCGTTTCCTCCTACTACCACCCAAGTGGAACAAGTAAGGAACTAAGATATGCTTTACCATGGGCAAAACTTCATGCACACTGATCGAACTCTCGCGCGCGGTCCTTGAGTGGTGCTGCTTCATGCCTGCACACTTTTTTCGGAAGTCCCTATTTATCTTATTCGAATCATCAACACAATCACCAGTTCTGCTTGAAAGCAGAAGTAGCTGGGGCAGGCTAGGTCGCATTCAATTTTGTCGGGAACCTTAAAGGCAGTTGGCACGATAATTTGGTACTCAGCCTAAAATGCTAGCAGGGCGCTATCTAGTGGGAAAATGGCGAAAAACGAAGTGAAACGGTCAAAACTGCGAAGAAAAGCCTTCGTTCTTGAAAAGCAATTTCGGACGAGTTTCCCGTAGGCGTATTGCAAATAACCGCTCCGGCAGGTACGGCTGCATGTATGTACTTCGCTGTACATAAGCGTTATCCATTCAGACCGCATACTAATCCCTTCGCTTCATGTTTTGCTCAGCAAATGAAGCAAAACGAGCATCTGGTAAGGTCGTCCATTTGTGGGCGGGCGGGCGTGGCGGGCGTTTGGGTCGGAATGTTGTAGCTTGATAGGACCCTTATAAGGGTACCTCCCTCGGAAAAACCGCTATGCAGCGCCTGCTCAGGGTCGCGGAAATCCGCCCTGCCAGGCGTATCAATCCTACTCGTTTTTAGGGATTTATGGCGCCAACTGCGTTTAAGGAGTACTGAGGCCTTCCGGATTTTCCTGACCTTGTCGGTCTCTTTCTATCGTGTTGGTCTCCTATGTGATTTCTCTGTGTGACTTCCGTTGTGATTCCCCCCCACCCCCACATTTGCCTTCCACAGACGACGTGGCGTGCCGCGTGCCCGGGTTCAATGTGCGGCGGGCTGTTTGCTAGCGCTAGCTAGCCTGGTAAGCGTGAGTTGCGGGTTCGAATACAGCCTAGGGTCAGCAGCTCAGCATCCTTGTAAAACTAAAGATTATGTAAGCATCATCCGTTTGTTTGTGAGTTGTTCCCTGAGCAAGGTCACAATCCGTAGAGCACACAGATGGAGTGCGAAATGAGACGAAAGTTATGAAATACGCCCCATTTACATTCCTTAAATTAACGCAGTTCAAAGACCAAATAAACCTAGAAGTTCAGATGAATGGGTGTCCGAACAGAAGGGGTTTGGTTGGGCGCCCTTGGACGGACGGTAGTGTTCATCTCCTTAACTCAAAACACGTTTAGGCCTCTGAAGATGACGACCCTGTCGAAACGTTAGGCCGTCAAATAAAGATCCCGCCTAAAAACCTCGAGAGGCACAGCAATACTAACGAATTAGACAACGATGCCGAGGTTACAGCAAGAGAGAAGCTGGAGAAAACTCAGCTCTCCGTTTAACGTCGTAAATGCCTTCTGTGGCCCTGAAACGATGTATAGCTCCCAACCTTACGCTGAAGAACTCCTGAATGAAAATCATCGAGATGGCGAACTCCAATGGATCTCTTCAGATTCGCAGAAACGCGTCTATTCTGGCGATTGGCGCACATCCGACCTATGTGCACATATGTGCACATAGGTCAGATGACGTGAGTGATGAAGTCCCCCACTTCCCTTTCCCAAGCTGAACATTGGCTCACGACGCTTCAAGGAGCAGAATTTGTGGTCATACATGCATCGTGTCCCCAAGTGGTGCCCTATTCGCCAGTCGGACGCAACTTGTCTTGAAAAAAAACGATAATCTATGGCACTGAACTCCAAAACGACGTAGACGTGGTATTTAAGAATTGTTTTGCTTGTGGGATGTTCGAACTGAACCAACTGAGATCTTGTGCTATGTTCAATAGAAATACGGCCACAATCATTTCCAAACAAATACGTCTCTCCAAAAGCACAGCCATCACCACGTTCACTTGAAGTACGCAGCCACGCCATCTCAGGAAGTTCGCGTGTTATGTTAGAGGTGTTTCTGTTGCAAGGCTACGCTCAAGGTGCCAAACAGGAATAAACTCCTACGGTTATCATAACTGCAGTCCAGACGGAATGTTTTCAATCTTTGTTTAGTTCACAAGCTTATTAAAGGCACGGTCCGCGATAAAAAGCCTAGGTGATGTTGCAGAAATGTAAAAGAAAATTCGCCAAGTGAACCGTCTGAGGAGAAAATGCCAAAGGGAACGTTGGAAACGCATTCGTCAGGCCTCCTCTAGCCTCAAACAACTGTAGAGGTAAAAGACCGAAAAGACCGCGCGCTGGGACAATTCCCGTCGGCTGATTCCCAGTAATGAACCCTATGACTCTACAAGAGACATTGAATGCATCCACTCCATGATACTTGCCCGGGAGCATTACTTTTGGCTGGAAGGCCGACTTTGGAGGCGGA